GTCCTGATTCTGATGGGTTTGTTTTTGTAGGTGGTGTTTCTTTTCTCTAACAGCCTTTAATGTTCTGTTCTTGGCTGAATTTCTGGGCTCTTGATTATTGTATGTCTAGGTGTAGGTTTATTTTAGTTATGACTGCTTAAGAGTTCAATATACCTCATTATCTGTATATCAAGGTCCTTTTCCCATGCTTGGGAACTTTTCTGCTATTACTTCTGTAAATGGTCTTTTTATGTCATTTGTGTTGACCCCTGGTTTTTCACAGACACCTAGCAGTCTTAAATTATTTTTCTTTGCATCATCATGCAGCCATTGAATTGTTATTTCCTGGTTTCTTGTGCTTTTTAAGTGATCTTTCCTTTTTTATACAGCCTACACTGGCCTTGAATCTGTGGCAATCCTGCTGTCTCATCCTCCTGAGGGCTGGGATTGCAGGAATGAACCATTGTGCCCAACTGTTGCATTGATTTATGTATTTCCGCTGATGAATACTATGCTGTTTTTCTTCTTAATCACTATAGCTTTGTAGTATAACTTGAAATCTGGGATTGTAATTATTTGTTCTACTTTTCTTGTCTAGAATTGGTTTTACTATTCTAAGTCTATTCTGGTTCCATATATATGAATTTTAGGATTGTTTTCTCTAGTTATATGAGAAATACTTTTGGTATTTTGATTGGAATTGCATTTAATCTGTCTATTACTTTTAGAAGTACACCCATTAGATTATATTGGTTTATCCCATCCAGGAAGAGGGGATATCTTTTCATTTTCTAATGTCTTCTTTGATCTTTTTGTTTTTCAGGGTATTGTAATTTTTTTCATAGAGGTTTTTTTTTACTTCTTTGGTTAGGTTAATTCCTGAGCATTTAACTTTTCTTGATTGTATTATGAAAAGTGTTGCTTTCCTAATACTTTCTTACTGACTTTATTATTGGTGTATGAGAGTGGTATTGATTTTTTTATGCTGCCTTGCATCCTGTTATACTATTGAATTTGGTTATTTTATGAGTTCCCAGTGAACTGTTTTAGGTCTTCTATATAGAGGATCATGTCATCTTCAAATAATGATAACTTGACTTCTTCTTTTCCTATTCATATCTCTTTTATTTCTGTGTCTTTCCTGATTGTGGTGGCTAATGTTTCAAGAACTATATTGAACAGGTGTGATGATAATGAATATCATTGTTTTGTTCCTGATTTTAGAGCAAAAGCTTTCAGACTCTTCCCATTTAATGTGATGTTCGTAGTTAGCTTGTCATAAATGACTTCTATTTGCTTGATATAAGGTACTTTTGTACCTATTTTCTTCATTTTTTTTGAAGATAGTAAAATACAACAAAACAAGACAGAACAAAGCCAATTGAGACAATGTGGTGCAATTGGTATAGAACTTCAGAGCAGGATACTGGGATAACAGTAATAGGTACCATAGTATATCTTGTTATCTTCACAATAGTTGTCCATTCAATCAGGTATAGCAAAATCAAACCAAAAACAGAACATTATAAAACCTATCAAAACAGAAGATTGAACAGAGCAAAACAATCAGAACAAAGCAAAACAGTGAAAACAATGTTTGCCTTCAAAGGGAAGATAGAAGGAAATCCCCCATATTTGCTGTATTACACACAATCATCCTCCCAAGAGATCCTCAGACTTCTGGCCCCAGATTAGTATAATCAACCCAACAAAACAAGTATATAGTTGCTTTATGTGTCTTTGTTGCTGTAAACTTTGGCTGTCCTCTACACCATCTATTTGCTAACTGAGCGGGGCGGGGCTTGGGATGTTTGATTCTCAGGTCGCATTCCGGAAGGCTCACAGGAGAGACTGACTTGTTTTTGCCCTGGCATGCCCGCTGCTTGCTTGTGCCACTGCGTACCAGGAAGGGGGGGACTTGTTGCTTTCTTGCTCAGCCCCCCAAGTTCCAACATAGCTGGATCTTAGGAGGCACTGACTTGTTCTCTCCTTGGAGTACCTACTATTCACTTGTGCCACCACTTACCAGGAAGCAAGGCTTATTGCTTTCTCTAGGTTTTGTTTTTTTTTTTTTAAATCATGAATATATGTTGATACTTGTCAGTGTATTGAGATGATCATGTCATTTTTGTTTTTGCTACTATTTATGTAATGTATTACATTTATCAGGTTGCCTCTGTTGAACCATCCCTGCATTCCTGGGTGAATCCTACTTGTTCATGATGTATGATCTTTTGATGCTTTATTGTATCTTTGTTTCCAACTATTCTGAGGATTTTCATGCCATGTTCATTAAGGAGATTAGGCTTTTTTTGTTTGTATCCTTTTCTAGCTTTGGAATCAGGGAAATGCGAACTTCTAGGAATGACTTTGGCAGTACTCTTTGTTTTTTACTTTCATTTAAAAATTTTAAGAGTACTAGTGGTAGATCATCTTGTAGAATTCAACAGTGAATCCTTTGGGACCTGGGTTTTTCTTAGTTGGTAGTTTTTGTCTTTATTTTCAATTTCATTGCCTGATACTGAATCTTTCAGTGTTATATCTTCTTGATTAATGTTTGGCAGCTTAATGGTTATTCTGTTAAAGCTGTGGGGGTTTGGAAATGGGAGAATGCAAAAAGAAAAATTTGAAAAATTAGCTGTGGGAACTATGAGAGAAGTGACACTAAGGACCCTGTTTAGGAGTAAGACATTAATAGTATTAGATAAAAGTGACAAAACAATAGAAAATAAAAATGGAGAAGAAAGTAATGTAGAAAATAAAGACTAGAAAAAATTAAAAGAAAAGGAAGAAGATACAAGAAAATCAAAGAAAAAGGAAAACAAGTCCAAAACCAGAATTTTTTTTCCAGTACTTTTGAATAAGTGCTTTCCTCCCAGAATCTGTGGTTTTGGAGTCCAGCAAGTGATGATTTTATCTGCCTAGCCTAATGGCCTGTGGGTTTGTGAGGCCCCTCTGTTTACACAAGGTGGTAGCAATGACCATGCTGAGATGTGTCCTTGCTCATCTTGGTAGAGAGTGAAGGTAATCAGACCTCAGATCTGTGCTGAATATAGGAAGCAGGGTAAGTGTTCAAATACTAATTGCAGGCAGCCACTTTCAGAACCAGCTTTTTCTAAGCACACTTCAGGCTGACCCTAATTTCTCATTATGGGATTCTAAGCGTATGTCCTTACCTTCTTGGGACCTGTTTCTAACCCCCAGTCTGGCTGTCTCCCATGGCTGTCTCTTGCCCCGTTACTATGGAGGGCAATAAGGGGAGCTCTGAGATGAGATTGTTTAGTTATTCTGAGTTCCAGATTTAAATAATCAATCCTTTCCTGAAATGGCATCTGATTAAGCTTTTTTGGCAATATGACTTGCATACATGCTTGGATCCTTGTTTAGCTGTTGGCTCTCATATGAAAGCTACCTTAGAGCAAAACCCGGTACTATTTTTGTAGGTCACAATTGGTAGAGGACTCTGTCACTGTTTTTCCATGGATCTTCGAGCCCTGGGCACTTAGCATACTTATGGGGGCCAGCTTCCTCTCGCTGTTGGCTGGAGCTGGAGAGAAAGTACAGATCGTTTCATTCTTTTCTCTGTGTTGTGGACCACCTTTCCAATTTCTTTGTAGCTTCTGATTTTTTCCTGTTAGTTCCTTGCTGATTCTTGGAAATATACTCTTTTTATTTTCCAAGTTATTATTTTCTAGTGTATGGACATTAGATCTCAGGCTGAATTTTGCTACTGATTACCCCTCCACCATTTTCCTTTTCCCCACCTCAGCAGAGCCTTAATGCTTACACATAAGACTTCAGAGAGAGATAGTTCATTTTCTAGTGATTACAACAGAGTATAAGTTAAATTTTATTTTTTTTCAAGTTAAATTTGAAATGTAAGAACTTTACTAGGCAAAAAGTAATAGATAGCTGCTGAGGCTCATCTCACAGTTAGCATTTCCTCCCACTATTGAAACCTCTCTGTCTACAGCCTTCTGTGTTGGTGAGGTAAGAAAGAAACTGAAATAGGGTATGGCATGAGTTAGCCAGCGCCTTCTCATCAATAAATAGGAGACAGTCAAGTGTTATTTCTTCTTTCTTTTTCATTTTTTTATTTAAAGAAAGAATAAACAACAGAAAAAGGGTAGAAATAATACATAATTTCAAAGAAAAAATAAACAGTAAGAAATCACTAGTTGCTAATTACATATTGTCCCCTTACAAATAGTTGTTCAAGTTACACAAGTGAAGCATTCAAAGTAGACATTCAAACAGTGAGACCACAAACAGTTCTGTTCAACTATCCAAAAAAACTTAGTAATATGGTTAACAATCTTATACACTTAAACATACATGTAGTTATCCATATCTTTATATATAAGATTCAACTTACCAAAGCAGGCTAAAATCACTCTGAACAAAGAATAATAGTATGACACTACAGGATCAGTAGTTGGTACTGTAGTATCTCTTTTTCTTCAAAGTAGTTGTTCATTTCATCATGCATTATAAGATCAGTTCTCAGAAGTGTTATTTCTTCTATTATGGATTTAACCCTTTGTTTATTTTGGCAAAAGGTAATGGCTTTTTATGACTAGGAAAGCTTCTACTTGCAGTCTAATTTTTGTTTAAAAGCAGAAAATAAGGGGATTTGCAAAGGAGAAATTACACAGAAAGCACATTTTCTTTTTTAAAAATGTATATTTATGTACAAGTAATTCACAAAGTACTTTTAAAGTTACGTGTTTAGTTTATATAAAGCTTCTGTATAAGTGGATTCAAAAATCAATGTACACATTCAGACCTAAACTGTTTTTTTTTAAATTTTTATTGGTACATTTTAGATATACAAAAGATAGCATCATCACAGGGAATTTATACCTATACAGGTTACTGTTGCTCTATGTATCTTATGTAGTTTTTAGGTATTTTAGAAATGGATCTTTTGAAGAGGAAGTAGTGTCAGCAAAAATTAGAATAAAGATAAATTAATAAAACATTTTGTTTCATAATCAAATTATTTGACATCTTTTTTTTAGAAATTTCAAGAAATTGCAGAAAAAAATATGGACAAATTGAACTGCATTGAGAAGTCACATGAACAATTGATTGTTGAAAATTCACACTTCAAAAATATATTGTCAAAGACTCAAAGGGAACAAACATCCTTGCTGGCAGCCTGTGCATTGATGGCTGGTGCATTGTATCCCCTGTATAGCAGATCATGTGCCTTATCTACACAGAGAGATTTTCTCCAGGAGCAGGTCAACACTTTTGAATTGTTCAAATTGGAAATTAGAACTTTAGCCCAAGCATTGTCAGCAGTAGAGGAAAAGAAGCAGGAGGAAACCAAGGTGAAGAAAAAACCATTCAAAGGATTCATTCGTATATTCCGAAGAGGTGTTATCGCAATTTTGGCAACCAACAGACTCAAGATTTTGGGCCAGTCATGTGCTTCTCTTTTTACTTGGATGGAAAGTTTCAAAGAAGGCATAGGCATGCTAGTGTGTACAGGAGAGCCCAAAGACAAGCATAAATTTCCAAGTAAGATAATTTAAGCCTTTAAAAATATAATTAGGTACATGAAACCTTTTAAAGATCATTTCATGTCAAATCCTATAACTTAGTTCTGTATCTATGTAGACACATAGTGTTTATATGGGTAAATGTATATTTTTAGATACATTAGACTTGATATTTTTGTTGATTGATTAAAAATATAAAGAGCAAATATGTATAACTTTGGCATTGTTTAGCTTGATTGTATTGAATATTTTTTGTAATGAAGAGAAGAACTTATACAGTAATTTTTAAATTAAGATAATCCAAAAAAACTTATTTAAAAATATCAGTATAATTTATTTAACTTTTTATGATAGTATAAAATGGTGAGACTTAAAAAGTTTACTGAAGATGTGTATGAAAATATCACAAATGTAACTTTTCCAGCTAAAATTTTTTTACATGCTTGACTATCCTAAAGATGCAATAGATGCAGTTGTTAACTTTTAAAAAGGAAATTGTTAAGTAATACGAGTAAAACTAAGAAAAATCTCTTCGTCTTTTTGGCAACCTTTAGTAGCTATTTATGAACTGGATTAATCAAATCTGACATTTATTATAGATTGTTTTTCCTGTGCCAGTCAATGTTTTTTTGCAAAGTTTGGTTTGTTACTTAAATAGCTGAATACTATAGTGAATTTTATATGTGGATTTTAATAATTTCATTGCATTTCATAATGAATATTTTTATTTTTGCAGAACATCAAAAGGAGCAGTTACGTTGCTTGCAAGCACTCAGTTGGCTTACCAGTCCTGATCTTCTTGCTGCAATAATCAGTTCTATGGCTGAGTTACAAGAAGTCATTAGTAAAACAGGTATGATTTCCCTTTTTATGTCTTTACAGAATATACTTAGAAACAAATGTCCCATAAATTGTTTGTGACACAAATGCTAATAAACCATCTAGGAAGAAAATGTATTTGTTACCGTTTTTTGTGATTTAGATTTTGTGTATGATGTGTTTGTATATAAGATTCAATGAAAATTAGTTTTCTTTTTTTCTGATGTACAACCAACTGGTTAACCTATGTTATTGGGCTAATTATGGTCATTTCACATATATTATGGAAAAAATAATATAATGTTCTTGTTAAGACTTCTGCTTAATGAAATGTAACTGTAAATGAAATTATAATGTCAGGTGTAATGTAATTCTTTACACAATTCTATGTAATTGTCAATCATTCATTGTGATTTCAAGTATCTGAGTCAGGACTTTTCTACTAGTGACTAACACTGAATAATGACTCAAACATTATTTTTAGATATGGCTATTGATGTTAGTAAGTCATGTACTTTTTAAATATAATGGCATGTCCTTAACATACTAAGTTTGACTCTGAAATAAAAACCTCAATTATTTTAAGAATTTAGTACTACAGATTCAAAGCAAAACTGTAGCATTCTTGAAAGAGTATAATAGTTTTAAAATCAAGTTTAATAGGCCAATAATTTGTGTTATCCATGTTCTTTATATATACAGAGACTTAAAAGTAGATTGCATAAGCTGTAATCTTACTAATTTATTTAATATATCTCTTTATCACTATGATATATATGTACACACACACACACACACACACACACATAAAATCTCCCTATGTTAGGAGATGAAAGAAAAACACACGAATTCATTGGCCATGCAGAAAATAAACACAGTGATTATACAGCAAGAACGGTAACTGATGCACAACTTTAGGCATAATGCAGTCAAGGCTGGGATGTGGAAGTGTGTGCTCTATACATGGTGCAGCTCAATGTGTGTTATGAGTATAGAGTTCAGTTAGGAACTAGTGACTTAGCTGGGCCTAGAATGATTGAGATGGAGTTCAGATGAAGGAATCTTGGTTTAGTCACAGATACAGAAATGAGAATAAGCATAGAACTGGAAGAGGAGACATTAAAGAGATCAGAATGGAAATGCATGCCTAGCAGGCCTGGCTTCATATAATGATTAATGAAGAGTATTTTTGAAGATTATATCTACATTGAAGGAAAATTGTATGTTTTAAATCACATTATAGAGGTTTTGTAAAATAAAGCAGTACTCTTCCCACTCCCCAGCATTCACATCCCAACAGATGGCTTCTTGGAAGCTCTTTAAAGTTAATATCTTGATACTGTGGTTTTTAAGATCAATATGCATAGGTAAGACCTATCAAGTAGATCTACCCACGGGTTTTACTTTGAGTCCTTGCCTACTGTCAGGAACAGGGCTACCTTTGGTCTCTTTGGTGGTAGACCAAGCTCTGCCCCTAATACCTTGAGTAAATAAGTTCAGGGAAACTTATTTGAAAGGAAGTCTTTGTTTATTGAGTAAATAAGTTCAGGGAAATTTATTTGAAAGGAAGTCTTTGTCTATTGGCTAAGAAACATACATTAGGGGACAGTAAGTGAGGGAGTGAATATTGTTGTATCAGAGTCTGAGATACATCAGAAAAGTTATGATCTGGATAGGGAACTAATTGAATATTACTGGATTGGTACAAAATGATCAGTATACACCTCCTGCAGAAATAATTTACCCATGTAGATTACAGAATAATTTTTTCCAACATGATAAAAGATTTATATGTTTTGCCTTCCAGATAATGTATTTTTATTACTAGTGTATTCTAGTAGTAGAAATTTCAGATGTTTTGGCAGGCGGAATGGGAACATATTTTGAGCTCTTAAAGGTAAACGAATGGTTATCAACAGATAATGGGAATAATAAATATAAGTAAAACTGTAACCAGCTATACAGTTATATTGCATTTATAATTTAAGTTCACTACTAATCTAAATATGTAAGCATTATTAATAGCCAAAAGAGCATTAGTTACTAGCTTTATTAAATTGTCAAGTTATTTAACTTTATTAGGTTTCAGATTCATAAATCTGAAATTTATAAGTGAAGGCAATATCTTCATCTGATGGCTGTTTTTAAAATTTAATGAAATAACACTTGAACATCTTTATGTTACCTGGCATGTATGGAATACTGAAATAATTGTCATTGCCTTACTAAAATCCTCACTGTGAAAATAATATATGGCGTTAATGAATACACATCTTTATAGATTTCATCTCTACAGGTGGTAATATTTTAGGGGTAAGAAGAAATTCTACCTAACTTTGAATATTGATTGTGACCTTGGACAAGTTAAACTTTTGTGCCTTGATTTTCTTATCTGTAAAATAAGAGTTCAGAAGACCAAGTTAATTTATAAAGTGCTTAGAGTAGTCTCTTTAGTAGTTTTGTTATTTTGCTTAAATTACTGGCCATTGTTATTCAATGCATTAACTGAGTAATAAAGAAATTTCATAAAAATATGAGTAGATAAAGTGAAAATATGTTGATTTGTCTTAACAAAATTACCTTTCTGAAGGCAATTTATATATTATGTAGAGTTCTAAAATATTTAAAGATGGTTTTGCTGTAACTTACTGATCAAGGAGACATTTTTTTCTCTGAGTACAGTGATACTATATCACAGCTCTACCCTTTTTATGATTAATGGAAGTCCTCACTTTAAGTAGCTTGATTAAATCATGTTTCCCTCCTAAATAACAGGAATCCTGGAGGTCTGTAGAAATTCATTATGTCTTTCTGCTTTGCCATCCTTAGCATCCTTGAATTTGTGCCTCCTAGTTACTATAAGCGACTGCTTGAAGGCATTTTTTGGCAGAGAGGGAAGGGCTAAAGGTGAATCCATTTGTACACGGTTATTTGGAATGGTAGTGATGCAGCTGCTTTGGAGTAGAGTCTGGCAGTTCCTCAAAATGGTAAAGGTATAGAACTATATTACTATGTAGAAAGTTGGGTTATGTTGAAATTTTCTTGGTGCAAGCACTGTAGTTGTAGTGGTTGCTTTCATCATGAGAAAGCTGGACAGTAGAGTGAAAAATCCAGCCCCATTCTTGTTCTGTTTTGGATTTTTGAAGACAAGGTTTCACTATTAAGTCTAGGATACCCTTGAACTTGGTGTATAATCCAGGGTAGTCTTAAATTTACTGTCTTCCTGCCTTAGTCTCCTGAGTACTGATTTTTACTTAGTTACATTCCCAGGTATATATCTCAGAGAAATGAAGATATATTCCCATGCAAAAATTTGAGCACAAATGTCATAGCATTAATATAAATGATTGTAAAAAAAAAGTGAAAACAAACCAAAAGATCTTCCCACTGATGAGTGGATAGCTATTCAACTGATGAAATTTTGTTAGTCCATAAAAAGGAATAAAGTATTGTTATATGCTATTACTTGGGTGAGCCTTGAAAACATGACGTCACATGAAAATAGCCAGTCACAATAAAGTCACATATTGTATGATTCTGTTTGAAATGTCCAGATGAGGGAATTTATTGACAAATAAATTAGTGGTTGTCTCAGAATGGGGGCTGTGGGAGTATGTTAAGTGACTGTTCAAGGATATGGAAGTGTTTTGGGGTGACAAAAATATAAAATTGGTATGACTGCACAATTCTCTTAATATACTAAAAACTATTGATTTGTACACTTCAGATGGGTGAGTTGTATGGTGTTAATTTATGTCTCTAGAAAGCTTTTGAAAATGTGAAGGCATGTGGCTGCTTAATATATCCTTTTATATCAGGAAGGTAAAAACATCCCCCAAAGCTCAACTAGCAGGTTTTTTGTATTATTTCCTTGACCTGAAGCGGTTATCCCTCGCTAGTTGGATACTTGCAAAAGAAACTGGACAAGTTTGTGGGAGTATTGAATCAACTCATTAACAATGTCTGCATATAAAGGATACATGTTTTTGAAAAGTATTACCTGTTAACACTGTAACTACCTCCCTTTCTCCATTATGAAAGAGTTAGAAACTTGGAAAAATTCACAAAAGATAACCTAGCAAAACAATTTTTTTCTATTGTTTGAATTGCTGAAGAATGGTTAACTCTCATGCTCTGCTTCCTCTTCCTTTCCCTTGTCACCTTCTCACTTTTCCTCCTTCCTTCCTTTGTTGTCTTGTTAAAAATTGAAACAACTTTAAATGTCAGGACTACATATTTATAGAATCACTGTGACTCTTTTGCCTTTAGCCTCAGGAAAACTATGGTGCATGTATATTAATACCAAATAGTAGTTTTTCATATATTAATAATAGTTGTATTGCCTCTCATATTATCATTTCCTTAAGAATTAAAAAAAAATCAGTCAGTGACTTTTTAAAAAATAGGTGTTTATTTATTTAGGGTAAATGCTGAATTACACATAGTGTTATGTAGGAGAGAAAACATACTGAATATGCAGTACTGATTAAAAGTTTGGCTTTTGATTTGCATCTGGATTCCATTGCTTTTTGCTATTTTTGTGACACTGGCAAATTACTTAATCCTTTTCAGCCTCAGTATTCCCAACAGCCTGTAGAATTTAGCTAATAAAATTGTGTAGCTAAAAGGATTTTTAGGAATAGACGTAACTTGCTAAGTCAAGTCCTTTCCTATATGTAAATATTCTGTAAACGTTAATTACTTTATCTTTTTTTGTATACTGATACCTCAGTGAAACTAACATTACATCTTACTTTTTCATGAAAGTAGAAGCTTCATAATGGCAGCTTGAATTCTCAGCACAAAAAGTGATAAAGTGCTCCTGTTACATCCTTAAACTTTGAAGATCCATTTATGGGCAGTGGGCAAAGACCCCAGTTTCCATGTTGCCTTCGTAAATACTGGACAGGTGGCAACCTTCTTGTTTTTATTATAGTGTTTGCCCACTTGAGATAAATTGCCTCTTCTAGGTATCCAAATGGTGTGTCTGCAAGAGATCATTTACCTCAAACAGAGGAGAATGTTACTTCCACT